ATTGGACATGATTTGGAAAGGCACACACCTGTCTATATAAGGTCCCACAGTTGACAGTGCATGTCAGAGCAAAAACCAAGCCATGAGGTCGAAGGAATTGTCCATAGAGCTCCGAGACAGGATTGTGTCGAGGCACAGATCTGGGGAAGGGTGCAAAAAAAATGTCTGCAGCATTGAAGGTCCCCAAGAACACAGTGGCCACCATCATTCTTAAATGGAAGAAGTTTGGAACCACCAAGACTCTTCCTAGAGCTGGCCTCCCGGCCTAACTGAGCAATCGTGGAAGAAGGGCCTTGGTCAGGGAGGTGACCAAGAATCCGATTGTCACTCTGACAGAGCTCCAGAGTTCCTCTGTGGAAATGGGAGAACCTTCCAGAAGGACAACCATCTCTGCAGCACTCCACCAATGAGGCCTTTATGGTAGAGTGGCCAGACGGAAGCCACTCCTCAGTAAAAGGCACATGACAGCCCGCCTGGAGTTTACCAAAAGGCACCTAAAGGACTCAGGCCATGAGAAACAAGATTCTCTGGTTTGATGAAACCAAGATTGAACTCTTTGGCGTGAAAGCCAAGCATCACGTCTGGAGGAAACCTTGCACCATCCCTACGGTGAAGCATGGTGGTGGCAGGGAAGCATTCTGTGGGGATGTTTTTCAGTGGCAGGGACTGGGAGACTAGTCAGGATAGAGGAAAAGATGAACAGAGCAAAGTACAGAGAGATCCTTGATGAAAACCTGCTCCAGAGCACTCAGGACCTTAGACTGGAGCGAAGGTTCACCTTCCAACAGGACAATGACCCTAAGCACACAGCCAAGACAACGCAGGAGTGGCTTCGGACAAGTCTCTGAATGTCCTTGAGTGGCCCAGCCAGAGCCCGGACTTGAACCCGATCTAACATTTCTGGAGAGACCTGACAGAGCTTGAGAGGATCTGCAGAGATGAATGGGAGAAACTCCCCAAATACAGGTGTGCCAAGCTTGTAGCGTCATACCCAAGAACACTTGAGGCTGTAATCGCTGCCAAAGGTGCTTCATCAAAGTACAGAGTAAAGGCTCTGAATACTTTTTTTTTTTTTTTACAAATTTGCTAACATTTATATAAACCTGTTTTTGCTTTGGCATTATGGGGTATTGTGTGTAGATTGATGAGGAGGAAAACAACAATTTAATCAATTTTAGAATAAGGCTGTAACGTAACAAAATGTTGAAAAAGTAAAGGGGTCTGAATACTTTCCGAATGCACTGCATTCGGTATAAAAGTATAAAAAACATGCACCAAAAAAATCCTATAAATTACCCACCACCTTAACGTACGAATAATAAAAAAAAAAAACACACAACAACAGATTTTGGGGTGAGACAAACGGGAGACGTTGATCTGCAGGAATAGACACCATACATGTTACCATGACGTTGTAGACAGCCTTTGCTGAACACTGCTGCTGTTTCTGTAACTCCTGCTGCAGTTTCTTTAAGTCATCCACCCGTTGCATAATGTCAGTGTCCAAAGGGTCGGGGAGATGGGAGGTTGATGGAGTTGCAGGGCAGAGAAAAGGGTGCGCCTGGACGGTGGGCTAGGTGTTGGTGAGAAGGGGCATTGGGGAGAGGGGCCGGAGAGGTGATGAATCAAGGCATGATGAACCACCTGTAGATGGGCCCTCAGGGCTCAGCTCCATCTCTGGACTGTCCAATACACCACCCCCCTCCAACACCAACAAGCAGATGGCGAATGTATTAGAATACAATACAAGCAATTTTAAAACATCTCCATGGGTTCCTTTGAGTTAAAATGTTTACCCAAAATAACTGATTTCATTAACATCTCAATCTACTTAACACAACACACTGTCTGTTTTCTGATGTTTGAACTAGCCCTGCTAATCATTATGATAACACAGGCACTGAATATTTCCCACTCACAGTTTCTCCCATCCAGAAAAGAGCTGATTTCACATGTTCTAACTAGGTCTGCTAAACATAAGATCACACACACACACACACACTGACTGTACAAAAGGACTCGGCTGCATGACGAGTACATACCGTATCTGGCATATTGGTGTCTTTCTGACAATGTTTCACGAAGCCAATCCAGTTGTCTGACAATCGGTGGAACACACCAGCGGCAGCCCCACTCCTCGTCTCCTTCACCCTTTTCAGATTGCGAACATACCGGTCCCGAATCTTTCTCCATGTTTCTTTGGTATCAGTATCAGTGTTCACATTTCGTGATATCTTCCTCCAGTTGATGTCTTTAGCTTGCTTGTCCGAATACAACCGCATCGAAGGGTTGTAAAGCTTATCGTATTGCCTCACCAGATCGCACAGGCGCTCCTCCAAACTGGCCATAGACATAATTGCGCTTAGCAAATCTCGAAATAAAAAGCACAAAAAAGGAAGCTTGCAAGTAGTAGAAGTGAAGTAGCAGAACGTCCATCTCTTCTGTGTTTATACCAGTATAAAAAATGTATGCACTCACTAACTGTAAGTCGCTCTGAATAAGAGCGTCTGCTAAATGACTAAAATGTAAATAACAGAAGGGATACTGGAAAATATGTGATATAGACACAGGGGCGGGACTTCCATTGCAAAACGCACTCAATACTACCCCTCAGTCTTAGCAAAGGAATGATACGTCGGGTCTCAATTTCCAAGTAGGAAAAAACTGTGTTGAATGACGGAGCATTTTACAAAGAGCAGCCCCTTTTGTGAGGAGAAACGACATTGCAACACTGCGCTATGCTCCGTCGGCTCTGTTTGCGTATTGTCTGTAGACCCCTTAAGACGGCTCTCAACACAACCCTCATATTACCGAGTGGGGTCATTTTGACCCCAAAGGCATATTTTTTTGACCCCAAAGCCCATAGGTGTTTTTTCATGTCTTCCAATTTTTCATGACTTTGTCAGTCAACTTGTTCTTAATAAATAGATATATTTGTTAAGTGTTTCTGTATCAGTATGGGAAAAATATATATATATAACATACACTACCGGTCAAAACTACTCATTCAAGGGTTTTTCTTTATTTTTACTATTTTCTACATTGTGGAATAATAGTGAAGACATCAAAACTATGAAATAACACATATGGAATCATGTAGTAACCAAAAAAGTGTTAAACAAATTAAAATATATTTTATATTTGAGATTCTTCAAATAGCCACCCTTTGTCTTGATGACAGCTTTGCACACTCTTGGCATTCTCTCAACCAGCTTCACCTGGAATGCTTTTCCAACAGTCTTGAAGGAATTCCCACATATGCTGAGCACTTGTAGACATTGTTAATGTTGTAAATGGCTATTGTAGCTGGAAATGGCTGATTTTTAATGGAATATTTACATAGGCGTACAGAGGCCCATTATCAATGTCTACACTGTATTTCTGTTCAATTTTATGTTATTTTAATGGACAAAAAAATTGATTTTCTTTCAAAAACAAGGACATTTCTAAGTTTCCCCAAACTTTTGAACGGTAGTGTATATGCTTAGTTGCAGTCAAAACAGCTCATAAAAAGTATGTCAGTGGTATGAATACTTGATAGAACTATAGTAGAGAAACCAGCTACCCTCTGAATGTACACATAGTGCTGTATTGGTGTGTATTCTCCGAATAATAGTTATTCTCCAGGAAATGTTACATAAATACCAGAAATCCTATACTATATTCTATATGTGCAACTTGTTATGGTATTTTGATTGCTATAACATTTGGTTTAACATGACATCGAGGATTTGGGCATGCTTTTTGAAGCGTCCTGCCATAGGCCTTACCACTCCCATTGTTTCACTAGCAGCGATGCTAATGCTATCTGTGGGGTAATAAATAAAGAAAACTTTGCCATATTTCTGGTCATTGTCTCTCAGGATCAATGGATGAATCACTTTTTGTGAATAAAATTAAGAACATTTCAAAATTTGGTGTACCGCCCCTTTAAATGGCAGTCGGTTTTATCACATAAATATGATAAAATTAGTATTTACTTCAAAATTCTAAGAACTAAATGATACTACAACCAAATTATGGTAAATCAGCTTTTTAGTACTAATGTGGATTGTACTTCTGAAAAAATGCTGCACATTATTTAAGGGAAAATATAAATATTTTTGTTTTACAGAATATTCAAATTACCTGTAATTTTGCTAGAATAACAGTCTGTTTTGGTTATTTTTTATTTTAGATACACATTATTTACATGCCTAATGATGTTTTAATAAGAAATAAGTTGATATTTTTCTATGATTGTTGCTTTTTCCAATAGTTTCTTCTTAGGGTCAAAATGACCCCAGTTGGTAATCCATGTATGTAAAAGATGATGGTAGTATGAGTGTTAAAAAAGCCTATTATAACATTGACTTGTATCTAATTGGCTGAAACAGGAGTGTGTTGAAATACAAAACCACATTAAGATACTTTTTTAGATAAACAACTAAAGACACCTACTGGTAATTTCATAGGAGCCCAGAATGGGTTCCCACAATGTTGTTTTCATCTGTGTGACTTCAAAGAGGAAGATAGGGAGCAGGACGTGGAGGTGAATCTTTGTTGGCACTCTAACCCATCATTTGAAAACATCTGGAGGAGTTTAAGTGTGCTTGTAGGGACAGACCCGTGGGACACTTTGGATGGGAAACAAAAACTAAGGAGCTAGTAAACAGCTATATTTCTCTAAAGCAGCCCATTCCAGAGAGAGAACTGTAAGGAGCCTTGATCTGCTGTTCTAAACTCACTCTATGTTCCTGAGAGCACAGAGGATCTTGACTAAACAGGAACTGTTTTTCACTGCCAAGACGTACTGTACCTACTAACTATAATAGCATCCAGATGAATTCCTAACTTCCTTAGGACATGGGCTGTGTGTGTGAAGTGATAGGCCTGTTTTCTCCATGCTAGTCCCAGAGAGAGCATGCAATATTCTAGCACACAAACAGCTAGTGTACTGCGCAGGTCTGTGTAAGCGTGTGTGTGTATGAGTCAGAGAGGACGGCGGGGAGGTCTTACCAGACATCAGAGTTTGTGGTGAACACTCCGTCTTTCAGCGACTCTGGGGACATCCAGCGGACTGGCAGAAGGCCCTTCCCTCCTTTCCGATAGTAATCCGTCTCGTAGATGTCTCGCGTCATGCCAAAGTCTGAGAAGAAGAGAAGAGAATTTTGAGTGGCCACTAAATATCCCACTAATTTGAGGGAGAGGATGCTCATGAGGCCTAATCCATTCCCTCACCTCTCCTATTCTGTCCATTTAGATCTACAAGCTATTCCTCCCCCTCAAGCACTAAGTGATCTCAAAATACTTACTTTGGAGTACAGCAGAGGGAGTTTAGCATTAAACAAACAGGGGGGAGTAGAAGTAATACTGTATTTTAAGGCACTCACCTCCGATCTTGACGGTGAAGTCCTCCGCCACCATGCAGTTCCTGGCAGCCAGGTCTCTGTGGACGAACTTGTTGGCATTGAGGTATGCCATGCCGTCCGCAATCTCCCCTGCCATCTGGATCATCTTCTTCAGAGGGGGCAGAACCTGGCTGGACGAGTTCTGTGGCAAAGAGGCAGAGACGTGAGCACAAGCAGGCCATTCAGTCTCTCCCTCCAACCTCCTTCTCCCTGCTGTCTGCAGCACTGAACCATGGCCAGGGCACACCACACAATGTGAGAGACCAACTGACGGAGGTGTGTGTGTGTGTGTGCGCCGTATTAATACATGATTAATGTACTGACACATAGACTTGAGTTCTGTGAGAGACTATGTTAGAAAGAGCAGGAGGAGTAATGTACATACCTCTTTACGGAGCGAGCGCAGGTGACTCTTCAGGTCTCCACGGGTCATCAGCTCCATTATCACCAAGGTGGGCTGTCCCTGAGAGACCACGCCCAGCAGCCGCACCTACACCAATCAGAACACAGCACAGAGATGGTGTCAGGGTACAAATAATTCTCGTTGGTGTAGTATTCCTTCTGAAACATTTGGGCAAGAAACAGATTTCTAAGTGCTAATATTCCCTAAGTGACTGAAATGATGTGGAATGTTCTTGCTTTTGAAACTACTCTGGCTCCTCTTAACTAATACTACTGTGGAGCTTTGAGGAAAGCAGGAAAAAAACCTCCTCCTTGCCTCTAAATTATTCAAATTGAGCTTAATAATTAAGTGTTTGGCTTTTAATCACCAAGACATGCTGAAAGGTTGTAACAGAGTCTTTCCAAGGGGGAAATCCTTAACATTTCCGTTTAGCTGAATTAATGAGGATTCGGCTGTGATAGAGCACAGAGGTCTCAGATCACACAGTTACAGCTGGCCTCAGGTTATACTGGAATTTTACTGCAGCTCCCTGTGTAGCTTCCTGTGCCCTGGGTAGTGTGCCCTGGTTTTGACCTCTGACCTCAGCAGCCAGCCAGGTGTCTCCGACCCTATGCAGCATTCTCTGCCTGAGGCCCTTTGTTTCTTACCTTGAACCTCTGTGAAATTGAAGCAATGATCTCATCACTCAAAGCTAGTGTTTCTGAGCCAATGTCCCTGATGTTAAACTGGTGTTTTGGACTCTGTCTCTCTCACCACATGGTGACAGTTGAACTCCTTCATGACAGAAGCCTCATTGAGGAACTCTATCCTCTCCCTCATGCTGGCCGACTCGTTGACCGTCTTGATGGCCACGCGTGTCTCTGGGTCGTCTTTAACCACGCCCTTAGCGAGGCCCTCGTACACCATGCCAAAGGAACCCTGGCCCAACTCCTTGTGCATGGTGATCTTCTCCCTGGCCACCTCCCACTCATCTGGAACATACACTGAACACAGGAGGAGAGGACAGTCAGAGACAAAGTGGGACATTTTGCATTTAAAATGATACTGTAGGTGTTCAGATGGTTCTTACTCTCAGCAGCACTGAAGTACTCAGGGTTGACAGAAGCATAGAGGACACCATTCCCCAGCCTGTCACTGTTCCTGTGGACACAAACACATCTGTGTGAGCCAGTGAAGGCAGCTTCGGCAACAGATAAATGGGATCGTTCATTCTGCAGAAAAGCCAACAATCTTATGAACTGCCTAAGGCAGGAAAATGATCACAATAGCACTATTATATTATTCAACGGATTAATATCGCACTAGTCAAACATTTTGTTACAGAGATACAGTTACCTTTTTTTGTTGATAAAGAAGAGTGCAGTGATAAGGCTGGTGATAAGGATTATCACTATGATGGGGATGATGATGACCAGATAGAACGTGTTGTCGTAGTCCCCTGCAACAAGATGATAACAGAACAACTATTCAAATCTGACCAATGAGAAAACGAGGATTTAACACCAATAGAATTTCTGAGCATGAAAATCATCCATATAAAAGGCTTTTTTATGAGGAAATGCATGTGTTCTTCATACGATTGGGTGGGGTCACGTAGAAGGACACTGGCTCAGTCCAGGACCCGTTTCCTGCCAGGGTGGTGGCACGCACGCGGGCAGAGTAGTTCCCAGAGCCCAGGTTGGTCAGACGAGCTCCTTTGTGCACTCTGTAGTGCTGGCGTGACACACACTCATGTTTCTCAGGCTGGAAAACACACATACACAGACAAAGTGTCAACCTGATGTCTGAGTGCCACAGTGGGTTGAGGGGTTGAGGCCCTGCAGAACTCCCAGGGGCCTCAGGGGCCCTGGCCCATACAGACTCACCTCGGTGCCCTGGCGGAACTTAATCTCATACATCAGGATGAGACCGTTGGGGTTGACAGGCTCCGGCCATCTCAGCAGCACCGACCCATCCCCCTTTTCATCCCTCTCCTGGATCACCCTGCCTGGCATGTCATCCGCTTTGTCTGATGGGCAGAGACACAGACACTACATATCAGATGGCTTTTTTTTTTGGCCATTTCCAAAGAGGCACAATGAGCCTAGAACAATAACACTATGCAGATGGCCATGGTCATGATTGTGGACTACAGGAAAAAAAGTGGACTGAGCATGACCCCATTCTCATCGACGGGGCTGTAGTGGAACAGGTTGAGAGCTTCAAGTTCCTTGGTGTCCACATCACCAACAAACTATTATGGTCCAAACACACCAAGACAGTCGTGAAGAGGGCAAGTTATACAGCTGCACCATCGAGAGCATCCTGACTGGTTGCATCACCGCCACTACAGAGGGTAGTGCGTACGGTCCAGTACATCACTGGGGCCAAGCTTCCTGCCATCCAGGACCTCTATACCAGGCGGTGTCAGAGGAAGGCCCTAAAAATTGTCAAAGACTCCAGCCACCCTAGTCATAGACTGTTCTCTCTGCTACCGCACGGCAAGCGGTACCGGAGCGCCAAGTCTAGGTCCAAAAGGCTTCTTAACAGCTTCTACCCCCAAGCCATAAGACTCCTGAACAGCTAATCATGGCTACCTGGACTATTTGCATTGTCCCCCCCACCCCACCCCCTCTTTTACGCTGCTGCTACTCTGTTTATTATCTATGCATAGTCACATTAACTCTGCTCACATGTACATATTACCTCAATTACCTCGACTAACCGGTGCCCCCGCACATTGAATCTGTACCGGTACCCCCTGTATATAGCCTCGCTATTGTTATTTTACTGCTGCTCTTGAATTATTAGCTATTTTTGTTTTTTACTTATCAATCTTTTACTTAACACTTTTTAATATTTTTTATTAAAACTGCATTGTTGGTTAAGGGCTTGTAAGTAAGCATTTCACTGTAATACCTGTTGTATTCAGCGCATGTGGCAAATAAAAATTGATTTGATTTCGATTTGAAGGTGTTGTTGTTGAAGCCTTTGTGTCTAGCGTCGTCTGTGTCTGTGTGTGTGACTGCCTCACCTGCAGGTTTGGTCCTGGAAAAGACGAAGGCTCCAGCACTGCAGCGGCGGACCTCCTGGTTACAGGCATGGATGTCGATGCGGTAGACAGTGAAGGGCTGTAGGTTGGGGATCTCTATAAACTCTGTCTTGCTCCGGTCCTCCATGAAGGGGAACTCCCTCTCGGGGGGTTCTCCGTCCGTCCCATTACCCTCCAGGCCTGTGGTGTTGCCACCCCGCGCCAAGGTGCCGTTAGCCACACCAAATAGATCCCTACGCCGCCGGTCAGGGGGTCTGAAGGACAAAGGGGGTTGCATAAATAAATGTTAGAGAGAGAGACCCACTGACTGACTGTAGCAGAAAAGGCACATGTGCGGCAAAGAAAGACATTGTCTCTTATCCTAAGGTTGAGGAGAAGGAGGAGTGGAGAAGATGTGTGGGCTTTCAGCTTCTCTGGAAGGGAGCTGAGGCACAGTTAAAGAGGAGAGAAGGGAAGGGAATATGAAGTCAGCTAGCCATACAGTAATACAGTGGTTCTCAACTGGTTTTGCCTCGGGACCCAAATTGGACAAGGTTGTCTCCGTCGCGACCCAATATTCACATCGCGAAAAATACAATCTGTAAAACTATTTTTAAAGCTATATTGATAGTAAATGTAGCAATTATATGACAAGGGAACAACATTCCACCTCTTTCATCGTCAATAATGAAATCATTCCCATATTCTTGATGAAGAATGTTAATAGACTCCCTGGTTTGAGAGCACAAAATCAACTAAAATAGGGCTGCTAATAGATCTATATTGAAAATACTGTGATAGAATAAAAAACATTCTGAGATTAAATTAGAAAGAAATGTAAGTTCATTATTATTTCTACACACTTTCTTGCAGTTAAAAAAACAAACAAATTATATTATTTTACACCTGTGACCCATTCAAAACCTCCTGATCGCGACCCACCAGTTGAGAATCTCTGCAGTAATATCCTCTGGAACACCATATTGTCCATACAGTATACTGTAGCCTTCATACACAGCCCACATAATGTCATTGACACTGAGTCACACTGAGCAAAAGCATCCCCTTCAACCTCACTAGACAGGGTGGGGTCCTCTACAGGAATATAGTATGGGAATAAGAAGTAGTAATAAGTACTATCAAGCAGTAAAATGACAATTTCCAGTGGGATACAATTTAACTGAGAGTAGAGTACAGTATGTTGAAGTGGCCTGGTTTTATTTGTTGTTGCAGTGTGTCTGTCCAGCTGCAGTGTTCTACTCCCTGTGGAGCTGTGTGGTGTGATGAGGTCAGAGAGGTGGGACAGAGGTGTAGAGAGAGCACACATCCACACACTGTAAGCACCCTGCCTGTCCATACAGACCCCTACTGACTCTGTTAGCCTACATGTCCTCATCCACAGGACAAATGCACTTTTCAGGAGAAAGTTATGGGAGAATAATGACCACCTGTTTGATGCACAGAGAGGCGTTTTTCACATGATACAAAAATAAGGCAAATAAAGCAATAAACACGAAATCAAATGGTACATTTCGTCAAAAAGAGCAAACACGAGAACCTGCAACAGGACTGCAACCCTCTTTCATGGAGTGATGGAGATGGATGTAAACACAATCATGAGGATGATGAGGAGGATGATGGTGTGAGCCACAGAAGCTGGAGAGCCAGCTGGCTGCAAGTGGATCCTGGCTGGAGCCACTGACAACATGCAGGCAGCGGTAGCAGCAGCAGCTCACCAGACACTACTAGGCGGGGCCACTGGGACTCCACAACACACGGGGCGCTGTGCCGATACCGAGAGGAGCAGACCTTACCTAGAGTCACCTTTAGGAGACGTGTAACGACTGGCTCTCTCTGGGTCTCTGAAAGAATTCAACAGTCAGCCACAGGCAGCTGATGGCACCTTAATTGGGGAGGGCGAGCTCATAGTAATGGCTGGAACGGAATAAATGGAATGGTATCGAACTCAAACCATGTGTTTGATACATTTACATTTAAGTCATTTAGCAGACGCTCTACATTCCAATGAGTCCATTCCAGCCATTATTATGAGCCATCCTCCCCTCAGCAGCCTCCTGTGCAGTCAGCCCACAGTGCAGTCAACTGAGGTAAGGAGAATACAGGACTGTCTGACAGTGGTGGGATGTGCTGTGTATATGTTGGCTCAAACAACAACGAATCCAGAACATATTTAGATTCATAGGGTATTTACAGTACACATGAACAAGATAAAGTAAATATGTAAAGAGTCTTTAAGGAGAGATAAATTAATTAGTGAATGAAAGTGACTGTGACAGATGAGTGTGTCTGAAATGACTGATCTCCTGAGTATCCCTCTCTAACTCCACCTAACAGTACAGGCCAGCAGGGTTCACTCAGGAATACAAGAGAATGTTGTTTCTGCTTTATTTTCCATTCCAGCATCTAGACGTTCAGAAATACTGTACAAAGCCAATGTCCTCTCAGAACTATTCCTCTGAAAAATGACAAATATGAGCAGGTGACAAAAGACCTTGAGACTGACCGGGCACCCACAGGAAAATAGTATTTACGGTGAGTGGAAAAACACAGCCGACCGACAGGCACACAAATCTATGGGAAGAAAATAGTAGCCATCGCACACCTCTATCAACATTCCATTCGGACAGTTTTTTCTGCTCCAGCAAAGTCCACGGTCCACTGCGCTCCAAAACGATCAGTTACTATTAACAATACACAACAGCACTGAGGACTGGCAGAGCTTTAATGAACATCTTGTATAAGAGACAAGTGCATGGAAGGGAGCACGAGACAGCCTGCCATTGAAGACTGGGTCGCCCCAAGATGAATGAGAGGGGTGATGGGTAGACACCCCCGTGTGCCAATTTGCCCAGGAGAGGGGACAGATGGCTGGGTTGCCAGAGAGTTGCAGTGCAGAGCAGAGCAAAGCAGACCTGTCCTCAAATGAACTATAGACAGAGGACTGAAGCTGAAGCGTGACCTTCTAACCAGGCGCCGCTGACTGCAGCTGGTGTACTCCCTCTCCAGCTCCCCTCCTAAAAAAAAGACCTCCCTCTTTCTCACCTTTACGCTGTGCGAGGGATCCTAAGAGGGACATGACTGCACCCTCTGTCTGGAGCCAGAACAGCGTGATTTAACGGTACTCTTTTACCAAAGCAGCTGAACATAGTAGGCTCTCATGCCAGAGAAAGGATACTCTTTTCTACTTCATGCTCATGTACAGTATGAAAGCACAGCTGTGATGGTGAGTGCTTTCTGAAGGACACACAGGGTGATAACCAGATGGTAAGGGCAGTGCCAACTGCCAACAACAGGAAAAACACAGGAACCTTTGCTGTACTTCTCAATGTCATTCTGTTTGTGTCCATCATGAGTTAGGTGATGTCATGGTTGCAACAACCCAATCAGCTGATGTCCAGTCAGTGAATCTGATAGGTTGTCACCCATCCCTGTCCCCTGACTACTCTCCTCTACTTCTCCAGCCAGTCAGTCTGTCTTGCTGAATGGTGTTCACTGGTCTGGCCAGCTCTAAGGGGATCTTCCCTTTCTCTCCTCATTCATTTGAATTCCAGATGGCTTCTCTGTACATTTCCTGGCAGCCGGTCACTCCGAACCACGCCGCGGACTAAGAGAGCATGTGAGAGCAGCGAGGAGGGTGAAAGAATGGAAAATATTTCCTCTTCTCTCTGTTTCTGTTTCCCCGCTCCCTTCCCCCTTCTCTCTAAACCCTGGACTTTAAAAAAAAACTTTCACTAAATCAGAGGCACTTTCCTAGAGTGTTTTGTGATAATGCTGGCTCTGTTGTGGTGGAGTACCTGTGCATACACAAGCAAAGCCCTTAGCGGCAGGCCAGATGACCTGGCACTCCTCGGTTTCCTAGACAACTATAACAAATCAACAAAGTCACAGAGGCATGGGGGAGAGAGTGAATGAAAACAATTAGTTACAATAGTACTTGTTTTATTGTTAGTTTTCCAAGGAGGACATCATTTGTTTTAATACTGTGAAAAAGAGCATCACAGAGGCGAAGGAAAGGGCATCATAACATTACATAAATGCATGAGCTTAGCACAGCAGGTGATGAAGAGCATACACTGTACTAAGCAGGCTGGGATCAGGGCAAGAATTGGAATTTGTCAAGCACCAGAGAAGTTTGCAACGCCAGGGTTGTGGGTTCGATTCCCACGGGGGGCCAGTATGAAAATGTATGCACTCACTAACTGTAAGTCGCGCTGGATAAGAGCGTCTGCTAAATGACTAAAATGTAAAAAATGTAACGAGTGCATTAGAATTTGTTTTCCATTCAATTTGTTTTGCGATGAAATGGTACTAATTCAGTGAATACGCAAACCTGTACCCTGAATACACTGGGTACACAAACACAATATCGCTCATGCACTCATTCACCTCAGACACACAGACACACACGGCCTGATCTGCCATCTGGTATGGAGAAACAAGTGGCCTGAGTTTACCCTGAAAAATTATCAATTTCAAAAAACAGTGAGTACATCTGTGTATGTGTCTATGTATGTACAACATAGACTGAGTGTGTGTGTGCGGGAAGGGGTTGGTCTTTGAAACTGTAAAGCATCCGTAACCATGAGAAGGTAAAATTATAACACCATACAGATGCCATTCCCCATTCTGGAAAACAAAAGGCTAACGGGCTGAAAGGGTGCAGCCAGCCCAGCGAGCAGAGCACAGCACAGGCCCTTCAGACTCATTAATCAGATCCCTCTCCCCGGGTTTGTTTGTGCTGCCTAAATTACAGCCTGCTAGGCCTTAATATCCGCTGCCGCCGTCGTCATGGCGATGGAAAAGCCACAAGTGCCGTAAGCAGGCATTGGATTCCTGCTCCCCATGTTTCTCTCTGTCAGGCAGGGTCCTCTGACACAGCTACAGCCCAGAAGCCCTACACCCTCCGTCCCTCCCTGCCTCCCTCCAAACCCTCATGATGTTTAGATCCTGTCAGTCCCAGTCTCAGGGCTGGGTAATTACAGCACCACTGCCTCCTGATCCTGGATCTCTCTCTGGGCTATTAAAGCAAACAGGACCCAGACTGTGAGCTCAGCTCTTTGATAATAATCTACAGTCTCAGAGAAGGGTTTGGTCCAAAAAATGGGGGAGGTTATAGCCAGAGCTTTAATATCACACTGTTGAATTATCTCTCACCATAGAGAGAGACTGCCTGCTGCCTGGCACCTACCTGGGGGTGAAGATGGAGTTGTGCAGGAAGTTCTCAAAGACTTTGCGGTAGGATGCGTCGTCTATCTCTGCCTTCAGGTCCTCCTTGGTCTTGGGGCAGGGGCAGCAGGGGCCCTTGTCCCCCCCAGACAGGTCAGACTTGGTGGGCTTGGTGTCCTCCTCCATGTCTGCCAACCCCGTGGCTGAGATTCTAATGGGGATCTTCAGCTCTTTTGTTGAGAGTGGGAGGGGAATAGGACCCGTTAGCGAATGACAGCATTCACCAAAGAAAGCAAAAACGAAAAGGGATGATGTGGTGTGTACAGTGCATTATAACACTAGGGGAGGAGAGATAATGCACAAAGATGAAAAGTAGACAAGGGAAAGGGAAAGAGGAGGAGTTGGAATGCTGACCTTTGGAGCAGTAGTTGTGTTGGTACAGTTCCCTGTCTTCAGCTTGCTGCTGCCAGCGGATCAGGTAAAATGTGAGATTGCCGTTAGGGTTGAGGGGAGGCGACCATTTCACCACCAGCTTGGAGGACGAGTTGGAATACGCCCGAGCATCCATTGGCATAGATGGCTCTGTGACAAAAACACACACGTTGAAATGTTGTGAGGGAAAAAAAGTATTTGATCCCCTGCTGATTTTGTACATTTGCCTACTGACAAAGAAATGATCAGTCTATAATTTTAATGGTAGGTTTATTTGAACAGTGAGAGACAGAATAACAACAAAAAAATCCAGAAAAACGCATGTCAAAAATGTTATAAATTGATTTGCATTTTAATGAGGGAAATAAGTATTTGACCGCTCTGCAAAACACGACTTAGTACTTGGTGGCAAAACCCTTGTTGGCAATCACAGAGGTCAGACGTTTCTTGTAGTTGGCCACCAGGTTTGCACACATCTCAGGAGGGATTTTGTCCCACTCCTCTTTGCAGATCTTCTCCAAGTCATTAAGGTTTCGAGGCTGACGTTTGGCAACTCGAACCTTCAGCTCCCTCCACAGATTTTCTATGGGATTAAGGTCTGGAGACTGGCTAGGCCACTCCAGGACCTTAATGTGCTTCTTCTTGAGCCACTCCTTTGTTGCATTGGCTGTGTGTTTTGGGTCATTGTCATGCTGGAATACCCATCCACGACCCATTTTCAATGCCCTGGCTGAGGGAAGGAGGTTCTCACCCAAGATTTGACGGTACATGGCCCTGTCCATCGTCCCTTTGATGCGGTGAAGTTGTCCTGTCCCCTTAGCAGAAAAACACCCCCAAAGCATAATGTTTCCACCTCCATGTTTGACGGTGGGGATGGTGTTCTTGGGGTCATAGGCAGCATTCCTCCTCCTCCAAACACGTCGAGTTGAGTTGATGCCAAAGAGCTCCATTTTGGTCTCATCTGACCACAACACTTTCACCCAGTTCTCCTCTGAATCATTCAGATGTTCATTGGCAAACTTCAGACGGGCAAGTATATGTGCTTTCTTGAGCAGGGGGACCTTGCGGGCGCTGCAGGATTTCAGTCCTTCACGGCGTAGTGTGTTACCAATTGTTTTTCTTGGTGACTATGGTCCCAGCTGCCTTGAGATCATTGACAAGATCCTCCCGTGTAGTTCTGGGCTGATTCCTCACCGTTCTCATGATCATTGCAACTCCACGAGGTGAGATCTTGCATGGAGCCCCAGGCCGAGGGAGATTCACAGTCCTTTTGTGTTTCTTCCATTTGCGAATAATCGCACCAACTGTTGTCACCTTCTCACCAAACTGCTTGGCGATGGTCTTGTAGCCCATTCCAGCCTTGTGTAGGTCTACAATCTTGTCCCTGACATCCTTGGAGAGCTCTTTGGTCTTGGCCATGGTGGAGAGTTTGGAATCTGATTGATTGATTGCTTCTGTGGACAGGTGTCTTTTATACAGGTAACAAGCTGAGATTAGGAGCACTCCCTTTAAGAGTGTGCTCCTAATCTCAGCTCGTTACCTGTATAAAAGACACCTGGGAGCCAGAAATCTTTCTGATTGAGAGGGGGTCAAATACTTATTTCCCTCATTAAAATGCAAATCAATTTATAACATTTTTGACATGAGTTTTTCTGGATTTTTTTGTTGTTATTCTGTCTCTCACTGTTCAAATAAATCTACCATTAAAATTATAGACTGATCATTTCTTTGTCAGTGGGCAAATGTACAAAATTAGCAGGTGATCAAATACTTTTTTCCCTCACTGTATTTACTACTCTGAACAAAAATAAAAACGTAACATGCAACAATTTCAAAGATTTTACTGAGTTAAAGTTCATATAAGGAAATCAGTAAATTGAAATGAATTGATTAGGCCCTAATCTATGGTTTTTTTAAAAGGTAGGGGGTGGGCGTGAATCAGAAAACCAGTCAGTATCTGGTGCGACCACCATTTGCCTCATGCAGCGCGACACATCTCCTTCATATAGAGTTGATCAGGCTGTTGATTGTGGCTTATGGTAGAGAAATTAACATTACATTCTCTGGCAACAGCTCTGGTGGACATTCCTGCAGTCAACATGCCAATTGCACGCTCCCTCAAAACTTGAGACATCTGTGGCATTGTGTTGTGACAAAACTGCACATTTTAGAGTGTCCTTTTATTGTCCCCAGCACAAGATGCACCTGTGTAATGATCATGCTGTTTAATCAGCTTCTTGATATACCACACCTGTCAGTTTAATGGATTATCTTGGCAAAGGAGAAATACTCACTAACAGGGATGTAAACAAATTTGTGCACAACATTTGAAAGAAATAAGCTTTTTGTGCATATGGAACATTTCAGGGATATTTTATTTCAGCTCATGAAACATGGGACCAAAACTTTACATGTTGCGTTTATATTTTTGTTCAGTGTATAAAGTTTTAAATGTGTTGTTTTCATGAAGCTTAAAATAAGAGTGATACCTTTCCTTATTGAAAGTTCTGATAAGAAGTGTTTCAGTTTATCTTGGGTGAAAACATGTCCATGGCTGAGGCGACCTGCTGCTGTGTACAGTAGCTTTACTGTAGTCTAGTCTGTGTACAGTAGCTTTACTGTAGTCTAGTCTGTGTACAGTAGCTTTACTGTAGTCTAGTCTGTGTACAGTAGCTTTACTGTAGTCTAGTCTGTGTACAGTAGCTTTACTGTAGTCTAGTCTGTGTACAGTAGCTTTACTGTAGTCTAGTCTGTGTACAGTAGCTTTACTGTAGTCTAGTCTGTGTACAGTAGTCTTACTGTATTCTAGTCTGTGTACAGTAGCTTTACTGTAGTCTAGTCTGTGTACAGTAGCTTTACTGTATTCTAGTCTGTGTACAGTAGATTTACTGTAGTCTAGTCTGTGTACAGTAGCTTTACTGTAGTCTAGTCTGTGTACAGTAGCTGTACTGTATTCTAGTCTGTGTACAGTAGCTGTACTGTATTCTAGTCTGTGTACAGTAGCTTTACTGTAGTCTAGTCTGTGTACAGTAGCTATACTGTATTCTAGTCTGTGTACAGTAGCTGTACTGTATTCTAGTCTGTGTACAGTAGCTGTACTGTATTCTAGTCTGTGTACAGTAGCTGTACTGTATTCTAGTCTGTGTACAGTAACTGTACTGTAGTCTAGTCTGTGTACAGTAGCTGTACTGTATTCTAGTCTGTGTACAGTAGCTGTACTGTATTCTAGTCTGTGTACAGTAGCTGTACTGTATTCTAGTCTGTGTACAGTAGCTGTACTGTAGTCTAGTCTGTGTACAGTAGCTGTACTGTAGTCTAGTCTGTGTACAGTAGCTGTACTGTATTCTAGTCTGTGTACAGTAGCTGTACAGTGTCTTACCTGAGGGGCTGGTGCGTATATAGACCACGTCACTCTTGGCTCCCGGGATGTGTTTGTCCTCCACCACCAGGGTGATGGCCTTGACAAAGATGGCATACTGGGTCCAGGGCTTCAGTGGGGACAGCAGCACACCAGGGTCTATCTCTTTGTCCTGCGGTAGGTCCACGTCAACCATGTTCCAACTGTTGGAGCCACACCCGTCCTGGCCATCAAACTCTGTGATGTTCTGGTGCGGTCTGGATTGCATGGATAAGACACCTTATGTCAATTTAGTATGCACAGCAACTCTGAATCCATAAACATAGCAGATAAAGTCCTGTCTACAAGTATAAAAGCTCTATGCAGTACAACAGGGAATGGAATATCTCTGGTGAGAGTACTTACGCCTCCTTGTAGTAGACGATGAAGCTGATGAGGTCTCTGTAGTCTGGTGGTCGGTAGCGCTCCCAAGTCAGCTTGATCCGGTTACTCATCGTGCTGTTGGACTTGAACTTCAGGATGTGACTCTCACCTACAAACACAAACCACATCTTAGATCAATAACTGGTGTGGCGGGGGGACACCCCGGCTTTCAACTCAGTCCGGCTTTCAAATTACTCTTGAAAGTTGTAGCTAATAGTAGAATGCACAAGAAGCAATTTAAAAATTGGGTAGTGCATCATCAGTTTTCCTCTTGTCATGTTAGTCATCGCATACTTTAGAGAGCTGTCTATAACTTGTCAGAAATGTCCAGATCAACTAGCCCATGTCAGATAACTTTTTTTGGCTAGGTTTTTTAGCCCACAGATTGTGTAGTAATGTTCGAGTCACTCAAATATCACATGAATAAACATTAGACATGGCAAAATGTATAGAATTGCAAGAAAATTAGCTTTAAAATTGCTAGATTTTCTCTACACCCCATGACAAAATGTGTAGAGTGGCAGGAAATAAGCTTTAAACCTGCAAAATGTTCTCTCCTCCAACAAGAGGGGGTGAACAGTTTGTGTCATGAACAGTGCTTGTACCCATAGAAATAGACATGGCGTGGGCGCACAGGGGGGGTGTGGGATGTTCCCCAATGCTGGAAGGGGGCCTGAGTGAAAAAGTTTGGGAACCCCTGTCTTAGATAATCTCCTCACAACACATACAGGAAACTTAGTTGTGATAACAGAGTATTGCATTAGATTAATGCTTCTTATTAAATCACATAGGTGTACTCACAGCTTGCTCTGTCTCCATTGTTGCGGAAATCGCCCTCCTCAAACTTCTCAGTGATGTCTGTCTTCTCCCACATATTGTGGATCTCAGACAAGCAGAGTTTGGGGTTGAAGCGGAAAGACAGCCTCCCAGCCCTGATGGTCAGATTGTGTTGGGTCCAGTCCCACAGATACTGCAGGCGCTGGTTGTCAATGGCAGAAAAAGCGTACATCCTGAAGGGAAAACAAAACAGACAGGTGTTAACTTACTAACACACCTAGCAGCTGTGATTGCATAGATGGGACAAACCACTTTTTAATCAATCAATTTATTTACTTTAAAAACACAATACAGCACTGAGGATAAAGTCATCAAAATGTTGTGGAGTGGTTGGCCTAGTTTTCCATCTGGTGGATGTGTAAAGTGTTAAGAGGAGACGACGTCAGAGCGGATTGTGTGTCAGTGTGTGTGGGTGTGTCTGTCTAACACTGAGCCGTGCACACATAGAGGGCCAGAGATGAAACAGGGCGACTCAGAGCCTCTCAGCTCCATGGAATACCTCGGGAACGAGCGGAATGCCAGCCCTTCTCTAGAGCATTCCTCCCGCTGTAACTCTAGCTTGGGAGGGATGACAACAAGAGACCTCAGAGGCTTTCCCATGACCCTCCTGGTCATCTCCAGAAACACTCTCCCTATCTCTGACAGGGGATAGGCCCCTGGTGATGTCATGCTACTGCCAGAATAGGCTGGGAGACCTGAGAGTTTCCATTCAGATAGAGCCCACTGGGAACAAATTGGTTGAATCAACGTTGTTTCAATGTAATTAGTCAGCGTATTGTGATGTGAAATCTACGTGGAAAATACATTGGATTTAAAAAAAGTAATCAACTGCTGGGTGAAATTTAAATCACAGGATTATGTCATCATGGTAACCAAGTTTCAAAATAGACAACGTCAGAGCTTCATTGTTATATGCACTATCAGAAAAAAAAACTATAGCCTGAACAGCACCTCCTACTGGAGAATTGATCTATCTGCAGTTACCCTTTGGTCTTCCATTCAGGGTTTTAACCAAGCCCAGCCCTACTTAGCTATTATATTTGTCACTGACTATTACCAATGTGCTATCGTGAGAATAACTGTTGAGAGATCTCCACTTAAAAACTAAATAGATTCACTATTGCTATCGAAGTCATTCCAAAGGGTAGGTTTAAGAGAGCAAATAAATCACTCATATATCATCAATGATGCTACAGTATTTAGGCCTATATAGCATTTCCAAAGTCATCAACAGCTATTGTTTAAATTTAACCCAGAATTCAACTAACAATAGACAATACAATAGGCCTAGGGTTTCAAGCTCCGGTTGATTTAGAATGTAATGATATTTGGTGATATTGAATTGTGTTTGGTTGTCTCTCCTTAATTCCAGTGTATCTACAATTTAATAATTGATATGTTGGATTCACATCTCCATTTCAACCAAAAATATAAGTTAAAGAATAAGACTATATCAAATAAAGTGTTATTTAAAGTGCATTTGAAGTTTTATTTTATTTTATTTAGTCCTATTCTTTAACTGAGATGAGATGAAGACGTGAATCTAACATATCAATTATTAATTGGGCGACAAACTGGAATTAAAGGAGAAGTTTGTTTTTTAAGAACCAAATCTCTATTTCTGATGTAAATGGCATGTTATAGAAGGGTCCAGAGTCCAGACACTTGTTTTGCGTCTTTCACTTGTTTTTGAGAAACCAGCGATTCACTTCCTCATCCTCGTTGTGCATTACGGGTGCTCTAAAAAAAACACCCAAATACGTCCTTTTAGACACTGAAACGCTCTGAGTATAGTGATGCAAGTCTTTAGACGTTGTACACATGAAATTGTGTCATTCCGAACTTTATCCTCAACGTCATATTACATTTTGTGCGACTCAAGCTGTTTTCCCTATCCAGCTGTTCCATTCTCCGTGTAGCTTGCTGCTAGAATGGACGGAGAGGTATCGCTCGAGTCGCAACAAAATGGAATATAACGTTGCGGATAAAGTTTTGAATGACGCAATTTCATGTGTACAACATCTAAAGACCTGCATCACTATACTGAGAGCCTTTATGTTTGTTCATGTTTTTTCAGAGCCCCCTTACTGCACAATGAGAATGAGGAAGTGAATCGCTGGTTGGGGTAAGTTTCTCAAAAACAAGTGAAATCACAAAAAAATTATGTCTGGAACCTTCTATAACATGCCATTTACATAAAACATTTTATTATCCTTAAAGCCAGACTAAATCAGTGGCACAGATGGAACTATCCACGCAGAAGATAGATATCCTTCTAATGTTGATATTTTGTTGCATTGACAACCAAACACAATCCAATATTACTTTTGTAATACAGTAAATATCCTAAAGTTAAGGCTATCTTAAAAACGAATGTAACATTCAACCTTAAAACGAGTAACACACCAATGGCCACATTTTGAGGTTACTGTAACTATACATTTCTTATGTAATCATATAAAGTGACTGCGTGCATGTTCAAGATAGCATGCACAATCGCTGTAATATTCTGCGCAGAATGGTGAACGGCATTGATCACTTGCACCATGTGTTTTTAATGTAATCTCAACTGCAATCAAGGTCTTTTGGTTCTGCTATTAGATGAAGCACAGTGATATTAATCTGTTGTATAAATAAACAAAACATTGTATTCCCATTGGAATTTGCTGTGCTTTAAATCGTTGGAAGCGCAGTGATAGACATTTGGGTGACAACTAAATCAAAACTCAGGCTTTGTTTTTCCATTGGAATTTGGTTGTGTTTTTATAAGGTTGAAAGCATAGTGATAACACATTGAAATTCAACAAACTTTTGGCTGTCTTTTTGAGTGGGTGAATATACTGTAGGTTGTAATCTCATTGATCAACGTCTCAACCAAATAATACCCAATTATCCAAGTTGAAATGACATGGTGTGCCCAGTGGGATAGCTCATCCACCTTTTCATTATATAACTGGGAGAGGTGCCATGTTATGGTGGTTTAGTGTGAATTCCTTTGTACTGTAAATGTTATGGCTGGTAGCCTTACTTTATCTACTCATATAGAAATAATGAATGAGGCATTCAAAACCTGCTGGGATACATCTGACATGAGAAGGATTCCAAAAATCCATTTAAATCATCCATGTGTCATTTTTCCTGGTAGAACATATGGCTGAACCCCACTGATATTGGAGTGACAACATCTTTCCTCTCTAGGCTGTGGTTCAAGGCTGACACGTCCCCAAACACATCTCAGACTCAGAGAGCAGAGAGCAGCCTGCCGTACCCGTCCATGAGCTCCTCCCCGTTGATGTAGCGCAGGCTCTTGAGGAAGGAGAGCGAGCCTAGCGTGTGGGAGTGGCTGATCCTCACATAGCCTGTCACTGTCTGGATCAGCCCCATGAAGCTCTCTAGCTCTGAGGCGATGTTATCTGGGGAGAGGAGAGAGTCAGCAAACACTAGTCAGACACAACAGCCAGTGTGTGAGAACCACAGCTCTGAACACATCAAATCCCACAGGCAACTGTACTGCTATACTGTATGACTATACTATACTGTATGACTATACTATACTTACTGTATGACTATACTCAATGCTCTAGAGGAGAATTACCCCGGCCCCAGCAAATCCAGAGTTGTACAAACGTTTTCATATCTAAAGATAAGCTGTAAGTCACCCTGTCAACTGAGCAAATAAATAGCATAATAGCATAATGTGATAATTGGTTTGGGGCACAGAGCAGGCAGCTGATGTAATGTTGACTCTGTGGCCCACACTAGCTCTCCCAGCGGCCCGTGCTCCGTGTTCCCTTCCCGGTCTCTGGGGAGACAGACAGACTGAGTGGTCCTGGTTACTGGTACTGGTACTCACTGCCACGGCGGATGTTGATGTGCAGGTTGCCTTTGATGACTGTGCAGCCCATTAGAGACTGAGCAGCATCTACTGAGTCGATGGTCTTGGAGTCGCAGATCTTATCACACAAGCCATCACAGGCACTGCAGAACATACTGTGATTGAGGAAGAGAAAGGAGGGGGAGAGAAAAGGGAAAACAGTCAAGAAATGACCTTTACTTAAATAAAACTACAAAATAAGACTATTTCCAAGAAACTTAATTAAGACGCCTCACCCAAACTCACCCAAAAAATCCCAAACTTCCAGAAGTAAAAATTTGTCAAATTTTGCTTTTTAAAGTACAAGGACACTTTATTTGTGAACTATGTAATTTCTATGGGTCCTCGTGAACCATTGGTTTCGTGAGAGAGTGACTCACTAAACGGCCCTAAAGACAAAACAAGACTGATATGGTAAAAAATATAGCAGGTTAAAGTTTTTCATCATGAATCTTGTTCTGGAGGCAGCTATTCAGAGCTGTCACTAGCTGGCACAGCCACAATGTAATAAAATCTGATTTAAACCTAACACTAACCTTAACCTTAACTTTAACCACACTGCTAACTCTAATGCCAAACCCTAACCTTAAATTAAAACCAAAAAGCTAATTTTTACAATATAGCCAATTTTGACTTTACAGCTGGCCTATCTAAGGGGAAATCGCTCAGTGCTGCCTCCGGGTCAAGACTCATGACAATAAATGTCAACCTGCAAAGATATGATGAAACCTGCAACAAAGACTCAACATGGAAAGTTTGAAAAATGAAAATACGGAGATAAGTTACCCTGAGTCATTAACAAAGACATTCTCTTATTCTAACTTAATGTCAAACGGGAAATGTCATACAGGGGAAATGTTCTGAGTTATAGCACTGCTATGATGAATCACTCCTGAACGCATTCAAGCAATGTTCATAAAGTCCCTTTTGTATCTGATGTTTACATTTATGCTTGCTACAGTATGACTACACCGTACAGGCCCGGCTGTAATTTACGGAAATTCACCAATGGATGAGTCTTGTGTACTGGGTACTGAGGTGAGCATCTTCCTCTGATTCTGAATTACCTGGAAAGTCCACAGGCTTCAATCAATCATGACCGAACATTACTTTCTGCCTGAAGCATTTTTAGCTCTGAAGCTTCTCTTTTGACAGGAAGCCCAGCGGTTAGAGCAGGGCCGAATGTCTACCTCTGTTTTTGGTTTTTCCTTTCAATTAAAACCTAGACAACCAGGTGAGGGGAGTTCCTTACTAATTAGTGACCTTAATTCATCAATCAAGTACAAGGGTGAAGCAAAAACCTGCAGACACTTGGCCCTCTGTGGAATGAGTTTGACACATGTGGGTTAAAGCATTGGGCCAGTAACTGAAAGGTCGCTGGTTCGAATACCCGAGCCAACAAGGTGAACAATCTAACGATGTACCCTTGAGCAAGGCACTTAACCCTAATTTGCTCCAGGGGCGCCATACTACTATGTCTGACCCTGTAAAACAACACATTTCACTGCACATATCCGGTGTATGTGACAATAAACAAGTTTTTTTTGTTTTTTAAGAATGTTATCTCTGAAAGGACCAGGTGGGGGAGGTGTTCAGATAGAGGTGAATTATTCAGAAGACCTCTGCACGCAGATTCATAATGCAACAAAACGCACACGGCCAGAAAGACACCCCACAATCAATATGTCAGAGGACTGTATACAGTAACAATGACTGGAGTGAAATCATAATAGTACTCTATATAATACTGTAGACAACCCATAACCAGAACCATGCCTGATACTGGGGAGCCCTTGAGGTGAAGTGTGATCTCTGCTCTCTTACCTATTGCTCTCATTGCGTGTGAAGCCTGATGGACACTCAGGCATGCACTCCCCTCCGTGGATGACAAAGTCAAAGTCACTGGGCAGGTGCACATGGGCACACAGGTCCATGGTAATGCAGCGCCAGCCCTCAAACTTGTAAGTGTCTGGGGGGCAGTCCTGCACGCAGCGGCCCTCGTGGTAGTAGTGCAGGCAGGCTGCGCAGGCCATGTCGTCGTCCGGCTCCGTACAGCTTCCCAGGCACTGGGCATGGCAACACTCACCACCGTCCGTACATGCCCTCCGCTCACACTTCTTCTCTGGGCACACTGGGTGAAACAGACAGAAAGAAACAGGTTAGTGAGATGTCAAGACTAGGTCAGAGTAAACAGTCACCATATTACTGTAGGTCTGGATGACAGGGTCAGAGAGGAAACACACTAATGCAGCTAACAGATAAAGCACAGCTCACTCTAATTAGCTCATATACAGTGTTGAATTACAATAAATTAAAAGGCTTTTAGACTGGAATACATTTATGAGCTTATTTCCCTGGAGAGGAAAAAGGGTTAAATGGGTTAACTATTATTAGACCTATATCAAGTTCTGAGGACAGGAGTGAGGATAGGTGGCATGACGAGACTCTGATTAAGCTGGACGGTGTGTGTGTGTGTGTGTGTGTGTGTGTGTGTGTGTGTGTGTGCGTGCCTAGCCTGTACTGTGCTCGTTGGAGGTCGAGGAGAGGCAGGCTTTAGGATTAGTGGGCTGTAAAATGGTAATCGCTGAGCAGAGCTGGGGAGCTGTAGAATGCTCTCAGAGAGGAAGCGGTGTGCCGTCAGGGCGTCGAATGTTTGTGCAGGGCCCCACGCTGCTCTATGCCAGCCTTGTTAGTAAACTGCAGAGCTGGCCCCACTACAGATAAATATTATTGCTCTTTGGGACTATTAACGGAATTCAAGGGAGGGGAAAGAGAGAGGGGGGGAGAAATAAAGCAGTTGTATCGCCAGTAGATGGATTGCCGTTGACTCCAGGAGCAGGGGAGGGCTCCAATCAGACTGAGCTACTGAGCTTCTCTGATACTACATCTACATGGCAGTAGGGGAGCAGACCTGGACCAGGTCCCACTGACAAGAACCTTCTGGTGGACAGTGCACCCTTACCAGATTACAGTGCATCCCTTTATTCAAGTATAGATTTTATTAAAGCAGCTACCACCCAAGGCAAGAGCAAAAAACTCCAAAGAAAACCCTCAGCTAATAGATAATTTTCAGTCAATTGCTTGAGAAACAACATTGATGAATTTTATTGGTTTACCAATAATGTGCCAAAAATGGGACAAAAATGACGTCACTTACAGAAATCAGAACTCCTAGAGTAGCTTCCAAGACATATGAACTTCCTTCAAGACCGTGAGAAAATCAACAGTAAAACAATTATGTGGAGAACACTGGCATGTTTCAAATTAAGCTTTTAGCGTCATGAATAACAATTGTCAGTGTTTACTGAGGATAGCAAAGGGACTAAACCACAGAGAAATGTGGTATCAATAACACCAGCATTACCTCTGGTTGAGAAATACACTGACTTTGGTGGGAAAGACAGGCTCCAAACAGTTCATTTGGAGTTGCTGCACTATGAACTCTATAAGCACAAGACTATAGATTTAATCTGCCTGTAATCAGCTCTGAATATCCGCCCAGGTATTAGGCCTATGCTGTTAGATGTTTAGACCTAAGTAGTATTAACCCATAGTTATTATGCGTATTATAATCCTTATTTATTATTTGGTGATGTTGTCCCCGGCAGGGGAAGAGGAGGTGAGGTGATTCTGTCTAGTGAGGAAACTCAGTACTTCTGTCTAATGTATCAAAGGCCACCTGAGTTTGGACAGGAAAGGGAAAAATACTTTATCAGCGGCCCCAGTTATGCATGAGAGAAGGTGAGGCAGCATGTCCCCATGGTAACTCAATGACAGGAGCTCTAATCTGGAGGCCAAGGGAAGTCTACTACACAGAGACAGGCCTGGGTATGGACTCAAGTGAATGGATGTGGAGGAGCTCTTGGTGACCTAGTGCTTTTTGCAAATGATTGTCCCCTGTCTGAAGAGGATCTATCTAGTAAAAGACTAACTCCAACTGAGAAGGCCACCGAGCGACACGATGACACTCCTGATTCCTAGGCAACGGCCTCTTGGTGCCGAGCCCTGCAGGCTGGGGGGGGGCACAACCAAACACACACACACACACAACACGTCTCCATCATTCTGTCTGTTCAGGCCTATATAGCCTCCAAACAACTAAGGAAATCCACCCATTGTGTGTTTATCAGGATAATTAATGTGCATACAAACATATAGAATTATTATTGTATTAGGACAGAGGAGGCAGGTGGGAGGACCTATCGGAGGATGGGCTCATTGAAATGGCTGGAATGGAATAAATGGAATGGTATCAAACACATCAAACATATGGAAACCACATGTTTGACTCCGTTCCATTGATTCCACTCCCGCCATTACAATGAGCCCGTCCTCCTATAGCTCCTCCCACCAGCCTCCTCCATATTAGGTGTATACTGGGTGTGGTGCAGAGAGAGAACAAGAAAATGAAAGAGAGAGAGTGTGTGTATAGTAGGGGTGTTTCTTCCAAAGACGTGTGTTTGCTTGTGTAAGATCTGTTTAGTGTCAGAAGATCAGCGGTGCTTTGTGAACCAGGGGCGAGAGGGAGTTGGGCTGCTAAGCTAATCTCAACATGAATATTTCATGCTGCTTTACCAAACATCTGTGTAAGTGAAGAAGAATGTGACAATGCACTACAGCAATGCTGCAGAGCAAACACATCATACTCCCACAGTACCAACTAGCCTAGGAGACTCTCATCATTCCCACTCTTAACCATTTCTCAAATAGTTGAGATTCTTTCTCACATTTGGTAAAATCACAAGCTGAACATACAAGAGGTGAAATACGTCAACAAACATTCCATTAGAGTTTTGTAACCAACAGAAAAATGCTTGTTTTTTTCAACAGAAAAAAACAAAAATGTTCAGCTATTTGGTCAAAAGAACACAGGCATGATCCTTCTTAATTCTGCTGATATCTTTAGCCAAGACTTAGGCTAATCACTCTATTTATTGCCATCCATTATATAATAATTGGTTTATTACTGATCCGTTCCTCACCTTTAACACACAGGAGTGAATGAGGAGAAACCTTTTATAAACCCTAACACAGGATTGTTATGGTGGAATGAGTATGGGTGGTAAATGAGAACTGCACTTCCTTAAATAGCCATATGGCCTGTTTATGAGTTATATATAGATGGACAGTTCCTTGTACCAATTCCAACTCTCTAACCAGGCTCTGTCTCAATGCTCCATAAAAACCTAGCCATTCTGGACCTAGTCCAAGAAGACAAAAGCATTATTTTAACTAGCCTATCCAATGCCAACACATACTATGCATTGATCTAGGAGTTGACGGAGGTGAGCAGAGAGAGAAAAGCAGAGAGAGGGAGAAAAAAACTGGAAGCCATTAATTTCTTGGAATTCCACCAAAAGGGGGCAGCCCAGACAAGCTCAAAGGGGCCTCGTTGGGAGAGGTTCCGCCTCATTTGAACAGATCCCTCAATGAAGAGAAATTCCAAACATGTATACCTTTCGCTGGGAAGAAGAAGGGGTAGCTGCTGCCTCACAATCCATATAAGTCAAGCCAATTTCCCTGTGTGACCAAACAAAATGTGGTCTCTATAAACGCTCCAAGTGCAGCCAGCCTATTTCCACGCTGCTCTGCTCTACACACAGCTATGCATGGCATCGTGGGTTTCCACTGCTTCAGAGGAAAGGGAAGGGACCACCAGATTACCTAACAAGAAATGCAGGACTGGTCAGCGAGTATGTCTCATCAGTTTAGTTAGTTAGGCCCAATAGTCCTTATCAGGAAGTAATGGTCTATATTGCACAGTATTGTATCAATAGGCTATTAATCACAATTTACATATATATCAATGAATTGAGGATAAAATGTAAATAGATACAGTGTAAATAGTGCACTTACAGTTATCTTTAAATTAGTAACTCAAGAGTTGATTATGATACTGGAATAATCAATGCCAAACACTGGGCTCCGATAAGATTGTATGGCCCCATTGAGAAAGCTAAGATAGCGGTATGTTGTGGTTGTGCCCAGTCATGTGTGACTGTCAGTAGAGGAGAGAGGCTTCGTACAGCTGACAACACACTCCTGCTACAGTGATCCAGAGGGTTGGGGAGTGGGTTATGTACCCAACTCTCATTTCTGCACAATCCCTCCTCTCCCTCCCTCCCTTCTTCCTCTCCCTCCCTCTCTCCTCTCTCTCCCTCCCTCCCTCCCTCCCTCCCTCCCTCCTATCTCTCCCTCCCTTCTCTTCCACCCAGAGAAAACCGACAGGTCAGATGCCATAGACACTGCAGCTTCCCAGCCTGCTCCCGCTGCACACAGCAAAATCACTGCAATGTGAGGAGCGGCACGGTCCATCTCCTCTGTAGTAAACAACACAATGAACACAGAGAGAGCGACAGAGAGTCGGCTCCCCACAGAGACATCCACACATTCCTGTACCCTCAATAAACGGAGAATGAACGAAGAACTACAGTCAAAACAGTGCTGTAAACCTACATGCTGTTTAAAAGCCCATTGACCCACTTGGATGTTTTTCCTGTGATATGTTGTTGCCTCTGGTCTGAAGTCAGTGGAGTACACAAAGAATCTCTAGCAGCTCAGTAATCAAGGAGTAGAATGTAAATCCCTTTGTCCTCTGCACCAACACACAATAACACACTTCAAGAGACTATGAAGAAATATGAAAGCTTGTTATGACTTGACTCAAATACTGTATATCATAAATCCTGGATATGTTGTAGTGGGCTATGGATGTAGCAGAAGGATTAGAATGCTTGTTTTGCTGCAGGAATGTGACTGCATGGCCAGGATGCAGATAAGTGATCTGAGACAAATGGAGGTTTGCTGACACGCAGCATCTGCATCAGAGAGAAAGCGTCAGATCCTTGCATCGAGAGTCCTCGCAATGCTTGGCTGGCGGGGGACATGCGATTGGGAGCTGTTGCGAATCTGCGATCTTGGGTTTAGTAGCCTATGGGAACATCATGAGTCCCGACCGCCGGCCCAACGGCCCCCTCCCCTCTCTCTCTCTCTCACCCTGTCTGTCTGTCACAAAATGCTCTGCTCCATTCCGATCTGATAAGGAGATGGTGAGGTTTCAATTGATGCCTGTTTTTCTCCCACAGGATGCTTCGTTGATTGGGAGAACATTTCTCTGTTTGACATTTATAATCCTAATATTGTATCACATAATTTCAATTTTTTCTTACAAGACTGATCCTTGCAGAGAGCATTATGCACCAATCCTCCTCTGGGTTATTTGAATGCGTGGCATGTCGCTCTAGCCAGGGTGCTTGCGTCGTCGACTACTACAGTGTTTACATCTGGGGAGACTAGTGACGCATTTGCAGCCCGCACGCAACGATGCTGCAGTAGAATAGTAGTCTATTCTATGTGCATACCTCCACTGCTGTATTTGCTATCTCACAAAGTCCTAAGGTGAAGGTAAAATAATCGAACTGGATACAGATTCAGAGGAATGTAATTTAAAGCCACGAAGATGGCAAAATGTGAGGTGATCCTATATCTTTTCTATTTCTATTTCAATTGATCTGTGCTTTTCAAGGCCAATTTAGATGACCTCTAGAAACAGAAATAAAAACTTTAAAAAAGAATAATAATACTGTAGTAATAACAAAAATAACAGTTATTATAATACACATTGGATTATTATTATTATTAATATGAGTATAAGTATTAGTATTATTCGACATATTTTTTATTATAATAAATATCCACTTTGCACAGTGTCATGAAAAGGATGCAGGACAGACTGTTGGGAAATCATTCATTATTAACGGGGGAGGAGTTTGAGGGGTGTAACTTGGAGAGATTTCTTGTGGACCAATAGCAGGCTTGCAGGGGCGGTTCTGGATGATTGACATGTTATTGAGTCTGGAGTAGAGATGGTAAACAAGTCCTCTCTGGTGAGGGGAGTGGGAGGGGGAGCTGTAACCATGGTGATTAAACATGCCCTTTTCAGCATGCAGTGTCTTTATACCTTCAGGAAAAACCTGAAAATATGTTGTTTGATACGATACAATACAATATTACTCTCCTAAACCCACTAGGCCAGTCCCCTTTGTTGTAGAGGATGTTATTTGGCTTTCGCTGCAACAAAACCAATATCTTTTGTATTTCATCTGACCTGGAAACAAACCTACATCTGTGGCAAATCAAATGTACCATATGTGGTCCTCTGTAGCTCAGCTGGTAGAGCACGGCGCTTGTAACGCCAAGGTAGTGGGTTCGATCCCCGGGACCACCCATACACACAAAAAAAAAAAATGTATGCACGCATGACTGTAAGTCGCTTTGGATAAAAGCGTCTGCTAAATGGCATATTATTATTATTATTTATGTTCGATCAGATTGGTTATCTCCTTCCTTGCCCTATTAACATAGATTCATTAATGGTTCAAGTAATCTGCACAAGCATCCATTTATTGCATTTTCCAGCCTACACACCAAGACTATCTATGGAGCTTGAAACTAGTGAGCTCAATGCTGGTCCCAGCAGTCAGGTACAGTAGCCCCTCATTTTGTATACAGTCAAAGCTCTGTGTCTCAGATTACCAGCAGAGCCAAGAGCAGGAGCAGCAGTCTGCATCCGTCTGGCTCAGCCGCCCCCCACCAGACCTGTGTAGCTCCTGCAGCCTGAGTCCCCCCGACCCCCAGCTCCATCAGGCCACATCCTCATCCGGCAACCCGATTCTCCCCTGGAACCCCCATCGGATCACTCTAGACACTTGTTTAAACCACATCAGCACAGAGAGCCAGGGAGAGGATGCTTCCTACACTAGCACAGCCAAAAGGGAAACCGCACCACCAAATCCAATACTACTGTTGCTGTTACAGCAAATAGTTTTCAAGGACTATTTTAAATGGGACGATTTAATCAGATGTTTTGTACACTTAGAGACACAACATCCCCTGCACGTTTATGGAGTTACTGTACATGTTTTGCTTTAAACAGTATTTTTCATGGTCAAACTCTGTAGCATCTACAATCATGCCATATCTAGTTTTCTCATGCAGACTGCTGCCTTAAGTAAGCATAAAACATTTATCTTTAGTGTTTTGCACAAATAGGTGTACGTGAACTCATTCCTCCCAGCCCAGTGTGTTTGGGTCTCTTCCACTCCCATGCACACCAAGGACCAGCACTGTGTTTTTCACTGAGGTATGTGCTGGTCTATGTGTTCAGGCATGCATGGCATTTCCCATCACCCGCGTTCAGTCACAACAACACACACCCTTCCTTCCACCCTACGGCCTCAGCCCACTGCAGCTGCTGTTGTTATTGATGTTGTTGTTGTGTTGTTTATATGTACTTATACATATGCACTACATTATTATATAGAAATCTATTTTCCTATCAGAGATGTGTGTGAGACACCATTTAGTGGAAAGCATTTTGAGCATAGGCCTATTCTCTAGCAGCTACAATAAGGAGCCACAGACATGGTCTTCTGTCATAAAGATTTGTAAATATTGTTGTTGTACTTTTGTTCAGGATTTCTGTAATATCAAAATGCTTTTAGGAATCAGGGAGTGGACACATATCTCATCTTTATCAACTATCAGTACTGAGTCTTACACAAGTACAGTATATACAGGGAGACAGATAGTGAAAAAATCTCATATCTTTGACCGGGACCCTTCCTCAATCCTAAATGTGTTGTCTAATCATAGTGGTTGTGTGAGGTCGTGGGCTTCACAGATGAGGCAGCCCAGTTTCTCATTCCAGTCTCCCAGCCCTCTCTCATCCCAGTCTCTCATCCTAGTCTCTCATCCCAGTCTCTCATCCCAGTCTCTCATCCCAGTCTCCCAGCCCAGTCTCCCAGCCCAGTCTCCCAGCCCAGTCTCCCAGCCCAGTCTCCCAGCCCAGTCTCCCAGCCCAGTCTCCCAGCCCAGTCTCCCAGCCCAGTCTCTCACCCCAGTCTCCCAGCCCAGTCTCTCACCCCAGTCTCCCAGCCCAGTCTCTCAGTTCATCCCCAGATAGACACAGACAGACAGAGGACGCCTCTGGATCTTATTTTTAGGCCAAACAGTGGTTTCAGCAGTCTCCCTTATTAATTCAGAAAACTCTCCAAGTTCATCTAAGGACTCCTCACGGTGGTTCTGGCTGTCATGAATTGGCGTGTTTGTGAAAAACAGTTTGTGTTCACTGGCATGGAACACTCCTTTTGCTCTTGTTTTCTCGTCTGTCATCTCCCAGTGTGACTAACCTGCCCACTATGACACTGCTAAAATTCACAACAGCACGACATTTGATCTCCACTCTGCTCCACTGTTCAACACTTTAAATCAAGGAGTTTTATTGAGATGCCTGTTTTGTGAACTTCCTTTCTTGACAGCCAGCAAAATGTATCATGAAATAAACTATGGGAATATAGTGCATACTGCATTTCTGTGGTAAACCCATTCACATAAGAATGTAAAGCCATGTTAAGACTGTCAGCAAGAGCAAATCAAATTTACTGTCTGTTTTTTTCTGATCAGGCATGATGATGATGACATTAATGGTCGAACACAAACATGGGAAGCATTCTGGCACTCAAGGTTTTATCTGGCAGGGAGAAAGCAGCCATGCCTTCTCCCTGGCTTAAACCCACATTAGTATGGGAAAAGGCAAACTCTGAAAGAAACCAGGCTAGACTTTTTTTCACAGATTCAGAGGTGTTTCCTCTCACTGTAAGTGGCTTCTAAAAATACCTGAGTTCCCAGATCTGCTTCATTAAATGCACTGTGTTTCCTGGCAGCCCTGAGTTGGCTGGCTGGCTGGCTGGCTGGCTGGCTGGCAGACTGGCTGGCTAGTTGGCTGGCTGGCTGGCTGACTGGCAGATTGGCTGTCTGACTGGTTGGGGGTAGAACCACCAGCCACAGCCTCCCTCCAGGTATGCCAGCAGTGAAGAGTCCAGCCATCACACCTCTGAGCGCTACAGCCACACACTATGTACTTTTACTATTTCCAAAGGAGCAAAAAACAACTAAGCACATGATTTCTGGCCACGGGTCTGCATGTTCACCTAAGACATGCCCCATACTACTACTCGGCACATTCTATAGCATATCCCATATTTTATTCAGTGGTGTAAGCCTCCAGTCACAACAATATCACTACACATGGCCTTGTCACTCCATGACTTGTTTTGACTGAAGGAGGAATGAGTGACGCACTTCAGTGTGGCTCTGCACCTCCCTGTCCACAGACTGCAGGAGTCAGAGACTAGGAGCATTATAGGGGAACATTACATCACAACAAAAGCTAATACTAAAACAGGCCAACACCTTGGCTGCAAACTGGTCCTTTTTTCATTAACTGGATTATTACACTGCCTGTAAGTACGCTGTCTGCACGGAACAGAGACTGAGAGTCCACAAGCACAGAGCCAATCAGAGCCTCTGGATTGTGGTGGTTATGATGCTGCCAAGCCCTATTTTCGTGGATAGCCATCTGCAGCTTTGCAGCAGGCTTCAGTACGATTGGCACACAGCACACACACTTCATCCTGGCACTGAGGCCTGCACACACTCTCTCTGCTGGCACAACATCTGTATTTAAAACGACACATCTGTATTTTACATTTACTTCAAGGAGGCCCTAATCCTGATCAAGCATACAAACATTTACCCTCATTTAAAAAGTGATGAAGCCGTGTTCATATTATGGCTGTCCCCAACAACAAAAAAATCTTGGTTGACTAATCGATTGCCAAAAAAATGTTAACTCCATATATAGACACATCCTATGTGTTTTAATCAAATCAACTATATGCACTGAGCTTGTCTGATGCTTTAAGCGCACTGTTTAATGAAAAAATTAAGACACACAAATGACTAGAGGGAGTCTGACCGCAATTGATTTGATTGTGCCGGGCCGGGCTCTCCTCCCTCCTGCAGTGACCACCACTGAACATCAACAGTTTATCGCGCTGTGTTGTTGAAGCTGCAACATAATTCTGTTACCAAAATCCCTAATTTGTTTAGGAAAAACATTCCCTATTCCCACAACCCTTGCTCTCTTTACGTGACACACGTATGCATCGCATGCATGTGACCAATAGAGCCTGACCTATAGCATATAATAATCACATCAATACATTGGTTATGACAAACTCTGAACACCGCAACACATGTGACAGCAAAATGGACGGAGAGGACGTGACAAATAAAGTCAAAACGGGGGAATGTTTACTGGTTGCTCAGGAGGTAAAGGGGAAGTCAGATGTGTGGGATAAATTTGACTAGTTGTGGAAAATACTGGAGATCAAGAAAAATAAGGTAAGGAGCAAGTGCTGCGTGCATATTATGTGTGCCAAACAGGTGCCGTTAGATTACAACATAATTTTTCTGACCGTTTGGAATAATGTAAACACCACTAAATAAATTATAAGCATACCAGACAGTCTGTTCTAAGTTTTTTTTTGTAAAGCCTATATTACAGCAAAGACTAAAAACAGTCGCATTCATTTGTGAATGCAATTTCCGAAATGGAACGGTTTATTTATTGTTTACGTTAATTATTCAAGGTTCACTTTGTTATTTTATTTTTAAACTAAAATCCTTGATTGCATTTCATGAATGACTCGTATGCTGTGTTATGACATAAACAAATGAATGATTGATTGATACATTAGCCTATATAACTATTGAAACATAGGCCTAAGTAAGTTATGGTATTAAGACTAAACATGATGCACTCTTTATTGGACAATTTGGAACAGTTTGTGAAATTTGTTAAATTGTTTTTCTGACATGCTGTGGTTGCATGAGGCTTGGTGCTCACGGAATCAGTAGGCTATTAAAAAACACTCAAACAGGCAACAGAAGCAGGATCTGTCTTATTTCTGTAGATATATATGGATGATTTATAAAGCCAGGCACATTTAACAGTTAGGATATTGATTATAGACCTAATTAAGTTTGGGTTTCCTCTCTCCTCACTTTTCTTAGACAATTAAGGCAAGGGCTGTTTTCTCATCTCCTAACTCAGCTGCTGCCTCCGCAGCATTGTTCTCAACACGAATATGCTGGTTAAATTTGGTCTAGGAAAAGGCGCCAATTCAACAGCGCACTGATGTGTTTCAGAACCGCGGACAGCGACCGCTATCCAACGCGGGAGAACACGCATTTGTTAACAAATAATATAATTTTTACTGAAATTGCATATGGTTATATTACTGTAATATAACCAAATACAATGTCAGTACCACATGTCTTAGAGTGATGGACTGTGCCATCCCCAAGGCCTCCACAATGGATTAGTCCACTCAGACAGGTGCGAATCAGACAGGTGTCTTGTACACCATTAATTAGTTTTTCTTTTTTTTGCTACTGCTCAACTAAAGAAATCTCGGCCGACCAACAGTTTATCGACAAAACAATCGACCAGTCGACTAAATGGGGTCAGCTCTATTTCATATTCACTCTGAGCTTCCTCATTTGGATAAAATGGGAGTGCTTTACCTAAACTGATAAGGTCATTAGTGAATTGCTAATCAGACAGATGGTGGATATTAAATCCTAAAATTGTGTGTACTTGTTTTCCTACTTTATCTGGACCCTGGTGTCCTAACAATTCACCTGAATGTCCTGACAAGGTAGAAAAACAATAACTTTTTTAGAAAGGACATTTTTCATGTCCTGAATTTGTTCAAATACTATTTTAAGCTTAAGGGTTAGGTTTAAGGTTTGGGGGTTAAGGTTAGGGTTAGGGTTAGGGTTAGGGTTAGGTTAAGGGTAGGGTTATGTTTAGGGAAAATATAATTTTTAATGGTCAAACATTTTTACTCCCCAAAAACTCCAGAAATGTCACGTAAATAAAGCTGTTTGTGTGTGTGTGTGTTATAACCCAGATGATGGTACTGTTGTCTTGAAGCACTCTTTAACAGAGGTTGTCAGGGGCGATACGTCTGACTGCACAGTCTAGGTTGCACAGTCCCTCAGACTCTCTGCAGTCTCTTCTCTTTCCTCTCTCTCTCTCTCTTCTCTCCCTCCCACTTTCTATTTACTCCCTCTCCCTCTCTCTCGTACGAGCATGGCCAGGCAGCTGGCACACCCAGACCAGCCTGTGGTGAGATACATTTTGTTTTGCTGCCCATTTCACTGGCTTTCTCTGTCTCGTTTTGTTATGGGGATGCCAGCATGCGTCTGCCACATCTCCGGCTGGCATTCCGATCTTCAAGAGAACGCTTGTGGCCACTTAAGATCTGACATCTGGCTGGGAGCCCCGTTCTCCCAGTGTAATTTCAGTTTCATATTGTGTTTCTCAAGGGTTCATATGGGTGGTGTGTGGCTGTTTTTCTTATTTAGTAAGGACAAGCCAAGGGTCAACAAGTACAGTTGTGCCTGGTCTTGACATCTGTTCAGATAAGGCAGAAAGACTATTCTCAGCAGTCTGCCCAACTTCACTGAGGACTTTGTTTGGGTTTTAGGCCTTTCAAGTGTAATGGCCTGACAAGGTTATACTCAGCCTGACTGTATCAATAGGTAGGACATGATAGCATAGACCAAGTAGCCAACACAAAGTACCATAAGCTTCATTTCACATGAGACGTAGCCTATGGTCTTTCACATCACAGGAATATCAAGGGTTCAATGCTTGTTTTGCCAATTTCATGCCTGCCTATCTATTGTAAACCCCAGGTCTCTCTGGCTGTTCATGGACACTTGAACAAACATATAGAGCATAAAAATACACACTGATAAGATTATAGAGGAGTAGTCATATTAGAAGATACACTCCCTTTTGTATAGCTTACACAGGAAAGATTTGAGAGTATTATACCCTCTCCTCTTTTCAATTTGATCCTGTTGTATCAAAGGGGCACATCAGAATACAAACTGTACAGACGAGATCTTAGCACTCTTCTTCATGCTCCTTTGTTAAAGAGGACAAAAAAACAGCCAGTATGGGTTACGGTGAGGAGTAAAAGGCTTTGATTACACTAAGAAGCTATTATATTGCCGTAAACAATGAACTCATAATAGCTTGTCCTCATTAAGCATTGGGTAACAACAGCACCAAATAAGTATATGCAGTTACACATATGCAGTGGAGTATAAAAAATGTCACTGTTTACAGTCTCTGAACAAATTGGGGGTTACGTCACCTAAGTTTCTCTCCCAGACTGAGTAAACACAGTTGGAGCTTTGCAGTAGAACTGAAGTTAATCTAAGGTATTATACCACACGTTTTCCACTACTGGCTTCAAATATAAGGTTGAAGGAACAATATAAAGAGCTCAAAGTAAAAAGGGATAGGCTGTGTGAGGTCCCCTGGCTGGCACACGTAGTCTGACACAGGGATCACGGGACTGAGGATAGGGGCCAGAGAAAGCCTGGCCTAGTCAGCCCTCCAACAGTACAAGCAGGCAGCTGATGTGGATGGAGCAGGACAGCTGACAGCCCTTAAACAGTCTGCAGCCCACACTTCCTATTGGCTGCCAGTGACATCATCATTTTATTCCCCCTTTTCACCTCCTCTTTTCAGTGGGAGGAGAGTTTTGCTCTCTCTCTCTCTCCCCACCTCTCTTTTTTTAGTCTCGCTCCCCCTTTCAGGGACCTCAGCAGCTCATATAGCCACCCTAGTGCGAGAGGATAAATAAGAACGAGGGAAAGAACAAGAGAGAAAAAGGAGAGGGAGAGAAGTTGTAGGCACTGGTACAGCTATTATGAGCATCAGAACTATAAAATCCCATAATGCAGAAAGGCTTAACTAAGCCGTTTTCTCTCTCCGTGCTTCCCCTTGTTTTGATACAGTGCCTCTTGGTGGAGCTGGCTGGTGGTTGGGCTGCGCGAGGCCAGCATTCGGCTGGCTGGTGGTTGGGCTGCGCGAGGCCAGCATTCGGCTGGCTGGTGGTTGGGCTGCGCGAGGCCAGCATTCGGCTGGCTGGTGGTTGGGCTGCACGAGGCCAGCATTC